TCTGCGTCAGTGTCATACACACACACACAATCTCTCAATCTCCTGTTCAATCCCTCTTCTTCTTTACTCGCGTGCTCAGTCAGACTCTCTCCATGTATGCGTAATGTGCCATTAATCGCTACTTTCTGAGCAGAGAAAAGCCCACCACCAGCAGCAGACAAGGAAGCAAGAAGGGATAAACCATACATGACATCAAAGAAAAAGGGGAATCACATCACGAGGAATGGACACAACAAAGTTCGCATTTGCTGCACACACGAAACCTGCCTTCTGTGTTGTATGCTTACAAAACCAGAAAGAAAACAACAAAAGCCAGCAAACGACCTCCACAAGGACTCACCTGAGTTGCATCACAGATGGTGTTCAACGACATGAAATGCTCGTTTACATTGGTGAGGCCAAATTTGTCCATCATTGTTTTCTCAAACAGCTTTCCTGCAAGTGAGGTATGCAACAGCCAATATGCCCAATCCTTCTGTTAGTGGTTTGTAACATAAGCCAAATAAACATACAGAAACGAATGAAATCGCCGGTGCCTGGGTTCCGCCACGTGGCAGAGGAGGGGAGAAACCCTGATCTCAGCAGGTTAGGGGTTGTGGCTTGATAGTACGCCCACCCTCGGTTCTTGATGGGCAGTTAATCCCCTCACATGAGGGCAATCAATGATGCTCATCCTACCCATTAACGAGCATTGGCTGTGGGGTGGGGGGGGGGGGACGGTGGTCCGCTGCACGCCAAGACGAGGAGTGAAAATGCGCGCAGGCCATTGGATAGGGTGGGTCAACGGGTGCGTAAAAGAAAAAAAAAACAACAACGATTTTGAGTCTTAAACCCATAACCTATCACCCATCGCTCTGGATACTTCTGGGTCTCATTGTTCTTGCAAAGAGTGGGAATTCTTCTTGGTGTTTCACAATGGGGCCTGGACGCACTGCCACGGGGACCTGATAGCGTGTGTGTGGCATGCTGGGGTGATACATTTCCCAAGTGAGCCGTGGACAATGTCAAGTCCGAGAATCGTCAACATGGGGGAGAGACACAACGTAACAAAGCGGAAAAGTTAAATCAGACATGGATGACCTGATGATGACATGGGGGAGAGACACAATGTACCAAGGCTGAAGACTCAAATCAGACAAAGGGCTGACCTGATGATGCAGCATAATGACAATTTGACACAGATCTGAGCTCAGTCACAGAACGGCGGGGTCCAAACATAGAAGAGACCTCCCCACTATCACCATGCACAAACAAGGTGCGAGATGAGATAAGGAGGAAGGACGGAGAAAAAGAAGAAGAAACAATGTATGGAAGCACCAAATTATAATCTGAAAGGATTCACGCGGCTCAGCAGACCCCCCCCCCATCCCATTCTCTTTTTTTGTATCATAGGGCTGCACGTAGAACTCCGGTAGATACTGTAGCAGGCAAAACAGAGATTCTGTAGGATAAGGCCCAGGAACAGTGGAAGTCCCTAGCAGTCAGAAGGTAGGCCGCCACCTATCCAGTCTCGGTCAAGTCACAGGAAAGGCCTAGGGGACAGTCTGGATATTTGTTGGCCGGGGCCGGGCCTGGCAGAAGAACACACGAGCCTGGCAGAAGAAGCCACAAGCCAAGTGAAAAAGCACATAAGGGAGGCACATGCCAGCAACCTCCTCTTCTTTGATTCTGAGTTATGCAGAAGTGCTGCTGCTTCATTGTGCGCCAAGATCCTGCATGTGTAATGATTGACTGCCGAGGAAGTAGACGACGGCGCAGGACGCCGAGATGAAGAGGAGCACAGTACCGAGGAGGGAGAGCAGTGAGGACATTCAGAGAGAGACCGTGAAACCTATTTGTGTGTACGTGCAGTAGTAGTAGTAGGGGGGAGAAGAGAGAGAGAGAGAGAGAGAGAGAGAGAGAGAGAGAGAGAGAGAGAGAGAGAGAGAGAGAGAGAGAGAGAGAGAGAGAGAGAGAGNGAGAGAGAGAGAGAGAGAGAGAGAGAGAGAGAGAGAGAGAGAGAGAGAGAGAGAGAGAGAGAGAGAGAGAGAGAGAGAGAGAGAGAGAGAGATTTACCAGCTTGTTGTCATTGCTGGCAGCCATAGCCGTGGACTTTGAGAAACCTCTGTATATCATTTCACGTTGTAATTACGCTGTGTGTGTACTCATATCGTGTGGATCTCGCTGGTGTGATTTGGATCTTGAGTGCGATGCACACATAAGATTTTGAACTTTGAAGTAATAAAGGCAAGAAATCAAGATCTTTTTTCAGTGCAGGGGGACCTTTTCAATGGTATCAGAGCAGACTCTTCTTGTCATCAACTAGCCAGCGTACGAGATCCAGCAGCAGCAGCACACTTGACGGGATACAGCGTACTGTGACCAGGCAGCACAGTGAAGGAAGAGAGTGCAGTGTAACAAAGCAGCAGAGAAAGCACGTACCTACAGTGAGAGTGAGTGTGATCAGGCGGTTCACCAGTGTCAGCAAGCGAGGAGAAGTCTTCAGCAAGCTTGAAGTGAAGTACCTGCGGCCCCTAAGCCCTGTACAATTCGTGCATGACTTTGATTTTCTGTCCACGCAACTCCATTCGTCTTTTCCTGGTTTGAGCGGCAGTGAACGTCGTTGCTGTTGATGTCAATAGGTTTAGGTGGTCTGTGGTTACCTTGTTCGTCAGGGAGTGGGTACTACTGGGTAGCGTTGCCAGCGTACCTGGGCACAGTGTACCCAGTGGGACCTAAGGCAGAATCACGGTACCTTATAGAGTAACAAAGAGGGCAACACAGAGTTCAGCCAGTGGTTACAGCACGTGCCAGAGGTGCACATGCGGAAAGAGAAAACTTTCCTCCCCTCCTGCTACGGCGCTCTGCCTGGTCTAAGGTGCCTTACTCGGCATTCTAAACGAATCGTTGGCTGAACGCGCCTGGGCATGAGGCGACATCAGGAGGCCGCTCTCGTCAGTATCGCTACAGGATAGCACTGGTGCTTACCAGTCGATGCTGGCGCCACTTCTTTGCCATTCTTCATCTTTTTCCTTTTTTTTTCTTTCTTTTTGCAATTCTTGGCCTAGTGCAAGTGTGAACATGAAGCAGCATCACCAGATTTTTCACGAGACAACCAAACAGGTGGAATCTCAGGAACCATTTGAAGCAGCAGGACAACAGAGAGATCACATGCATAGAAGAGAACCTACCGATCATTTCCGTTTCGCTCTTCAACATTGTCGTCTGATTTGCAATTCCAACCTTTTCCAGATGAACATCTGGGTCAAATCCTTCAGATATAGCATATTTGAATTTCTGCAGCCCAAGGAATTATTTTGTTTGGTTAGAAACAAAACCATGCATGCATGTTCAAGCCTCCGCAAATGGACTGACAATATTTACAGAAATGGTTGTGTTGCACACAACTGCTATGATCCTGCTCAGTTCATAATCCAAGACAACTTTGAGACAATGCCATACACCACAATGCAAGAAGAAGTTGAAGTCAACCAGGAGAGGAGAGAATGACAAAAGAAGAAGAAGAAGAAGAACATGAGATTGAACTGAAGTCATCTCCTCCCTCCTCTTGCCATCATCATCTCCCTCACATAGTTGCCTCCTCTTACTAACAGTTAAAATAAATGCAGTAATGAATGGATGAATGAACAACAGTCAATGTCCCAATGATACCCCTTACTCCCAGCACTCAAAGAGCTCTCTCTCTCTCTCTCTCTCTCTCTCTCTCTCTCTCCACCACCTTCAGCACGGTTGCACAACCAGCTATGGTGGTGGCTCATCCCTGGCCAGCATGGATGTTCAAAGGGCACCGCACTACTACCAGGCCTCTCCATCTCCTTCCGCTATAGCCTCACCCCTGGATGAAGTCCATGACCAACCAGTTCCCCAGCAAGGGCCTTCCATATGCAGCACCAACCAAGGACGTGGAGATGAAGATCCACCATAGCCAAAGGTGAGTCTCTGTTGTCGGCTCCCTCCTCCTTCCTACCCCTCTACCTCCACTCTTCCCTTCCACTTACCTCCATTGCCTAGCTTGAGGCCCTTCTCCCTCTACCTCCATAGCCTAGGTCTTCTCCCTCCTAGAACTACTCATCCTCCATACCTATGTATAGAGTTCTTGCTCACCCTCAACTCCTCCTTCAACGCTGAGCTCCACCTCACTCTCCCTTGGGGCAGAGCAACAGCATGACTGCCCGGTGAATACCTGGACTACTCGTTGCACTGAAAGATAGAGGCCTCTCAGCCAGCCCGTCCACTTCTTACGACGACCGAGGTATTTCCAGTGCCTTGGGCCTACGAGAACGTTCCCGCCTTTTGGTGGGAATATCATCGCAGTATGTACCTCCCCCACAGCGCCTGAACCTAGACCGGTTACCTACATTCAAGCCTGGACCATCATGACCTACTGAAAAGCTACAAGACCTGACTGTTTGAGACCTACTCGATTTATTCAGGAGAACAGGGCTCTGGGTTATATGGAAAGCCCAATGAAGGCTGACTTTGGGAAACACAGATTGTCTTTCCAGGAAACATGGACAGAATTTAAGCATATGGTAGAAACAGAATGCGGGCACATTAAAGAAAAAAAGAAAAGAAAAAAAAACGGGCGCATTGGATGATTGGAAGTGGTGCTGCAGAAAATGTGCAAAGTACTGGATGATCAACAAAAGATACTCAGGAAAACACAGATGCGAGGATCAGGGTCCTCGGTAGGCCTATGGAGCCCTGTCTGCAGCCTTACCCGCCCTAAGTGAAGGCGGGCCTGACTTTTTGCACAAGGCCTTCGACTGTCAATTTCATATTTGGGGTTCAGGCAGTTGCGACGCGCCAGTTGGTTGAAAGAAACACAGGCCGAGCAACAAGGCCATTTCCACGGCCTACCGGGCCTTTCCAAAGAATGCAGGCCCTGGACGTGATTCGCAGCCTCATACAGAGACAGTTGGGCGCCCAACCGAACGAGGCCCAGCAGCCCAGTAGCTGCTGCATCCAGGCAGCCTCCTGGGCTGGGGCCTTCCGGACGCTTCTGGGCCCAGGCCAAGGCAGCCAGGCTGCGTGAGCAGGCCAAACTCTTTCCATAAAGGAAAGAGCCCGGCCCTGGCTGCCTCATTCAGGCACTCGCATGCTGGGCAGCAGCGCTGCTGGAGCTTATGCTCGTAGGCTGCTGCTAGTGCTGGGAGGCGAGGTGCAGCACGTGCGGTCGTGCAGAGGAGGAGGGCGCTGCTGAGGGCAGCGCCATAGCCCAGCCACCATAGCTGGTGGGCTTGGACTATAGTGAGGCGCAGGGGTGGTCTTCGGGTGACAGAGAGGACAGGTTTGGGTGAAGTCAGGGGATAGGTGAAGGATGATGATGATGATGATGATGTGAGGGCACGTACCTTGTATTGGTGATGGTCTGCATGGGCGGCATCTTCAAGTACTTCGGACTGCTGCTGATGTCAACAGTTGCATTGTCTTTTTGTAGTCTGTAGTAGCTGTGTAGGAGTAGGCTGGGCGCTGAGCGCCAAGTGTGAGGGTTGAGGAACTGGACTCTTGTGTTGAAGGGAGAGAGTATGCTCTCCATGTACCTTGGTTTTTCAGTGCTATGAACCTCCATTGATGTAATATTGGTGCAATGCTGCTCTATGGACACGGTGTGACTATTTGGCTCTCAATGTGATGGTGTGGTCTGGATTGTCATCTCGCTGTTGCTTATTTGCCTTGCACAGAGGGCAAAATAGCCGAAATAAAAAAAAATAGTACCGAAATAGTAAATACCCTTCTTCTTCTCAACTGGATTGGAGAGATCTTAAGATCAGCTACCGAGGATCAGGAAGCAGAGCAGGAGTACTTAGATGGGGATACTACCGTCTTCACCCGAATAGAACGCCTAGTAATTATCGCCGTATCTACACTGACAATTGGACCGAATACAGCTGTAATGACCAGGTGTTCTATTCGGGTGAAGAAGGTAGGTGGTAGGCAATTTTTACAACTTATAGGTTGAACACATGTTTTCAAAGGGTCTCACGATGCAGACACCCGAGTCCCGGTTCCAGGGTCCCAAATTGTCCCAGTCCCAGATGGACCCGGTCCCACCTGTCCCAGTAGCTATGTTCCAGGTACGGTCTGTAGGGTCCCAGGGTCCATAGGAAGTCGAAGCGCCGTAGGCCATGTCGCACCAGTAGCGAATCAGACCGGTAAAAGTCCAAACAGTACCCAATAAGAAAGTCCAGGCCTGCAAATAGCAGAGCAGAATCTAATATTCCTACTGGGCAGACACATCTCGAAGACACACTCTTTGCAGCGAAGCGCCAGCTGTCTAAGTGGAAGGCCTGGAAGGAAGCAGGGTTGAGACTATGAGCCAGAGTCAAGGAACTGGAGGAAGGAGAAAGAATGACTAAGTACGTTTTTCAGAAGATTAAAATCAATGCATGCAATAAACTCATCGATCAGCTGAAGAAGGGAGACACTACAACATCGGACCCTCAAGAAATTTTGACTATAGCAGCGAACTTCTACAAGGAGCTCTACACCTCAAAGGAAGACCAGCATCCTCCAATTCAAGTACAACAAGCGAGACAAAAAATTCTACGACACCTGGATAAAACCCTGTTGCAGGAACAAGCAGCAGAGCTGGATAAGCCAATCACACCAGAGGAGGTCAAGTTAGCACTGCTCTCCATGCAACCGAATAAAACCCCGGGAAGAGATGGACTGTCGAAGGAATTTTGGCAGACATTCTGGCCAATTTTTCAGAGAGAATACAGTAATTTCTTGAACACAGCCTACCACGAAGAAGGATTAGGCAAGTACATAAGCACATGAGTTGTTACACTGCTATACAAAAAAGGGGACCCTACAGATATCAGGAATTACCGTCCAATAACTCTACTCATGGTAGTATACAAGATACTGGCAAAACTGCTAGCCAATCGACTTAGGAATATCACCTGGAGCTGCTTCCATATTCATCAAACAGGTTTTATCCCTGGGAGATACATCCTCGACAAGGTTATGACACTAACAGAGTTGGCGCGTTACATCAAGGACAAGAAACTCAACGCCGCTATATGACCAGGTTAACTGGAACTTTCAGCAGCAATGTGTGGAGAAGATGGGAGTGGGACCGAACTTTCGAAAATGGGTGAGAATACTTTACAACGATGCATACGGTCAAGTGCAACTCAATGGCTTCCTTTCTCCGCCATATAAAATGAGTCGCTAAGTGCGTCAAGGAGATCCACTAGCAGCCCCCCCCTTTCTTTTCACCATGGAGGAGATAGCATCTTTCTTGAGAAAGGACCCGGCAATAGAGCGTCTAGTTGCGGAACCGACTTATTCCTCTCATCAAGTAAGCTTACCTACCACTCTCCTTTTTGCCGACGATCTGATAATTTTGATTAGAGCCTCCGACGCTTCATTTCAAGCACTTACACGTACACTATGCAAGTGTTTCAACTGGCTGCTGAAATGAATGTCAATTGGCAGAAACAAAGCAACCATCTAAGGACATCACACTCGAAGGGTTTACATGGAAGGATCCCAAGACGCCACTGAGGTTCCTAGGCATCAACCTCACAAATGCAGGACCCGATCAGGCGATGGCTCCAGAGATGTTAACGCGTATGATCCGCAAATTGGACAGCTGGACCGGTATCTACACCTCAGTATCTGGAAAAGCACTGGTACTCAATGCCTCCATCTTCTCTATGCTCTGGTATGCAGCTTCCATTTGGACACCGGAGTTCAGAATGTCAAAGGCTCTCAAAACACGTTCTACAACTTATCTGACAGGTAATCCTTCTACCCAGAGTTTCATTCCCAAGGTTACCTAGGGGTACCTCACACAACCAAAGGGACAAGGAGGTCTAGGAATTTTGGACCCAGTCACACAAACCAAAGCTTTGCAAACCAAGCGGATAGTGAAGCTGCTCACCAACCACACTACCCTGGAATTCCTTGGCACTCTACAGAATCAGACAACTCCCAAAGGACTCTTCCCCGGCTAATATGAGACGATGTTTTTGGCTGATGTCCAAATCATGGTCCGCCCGCAGAGGAGTACTGCATCAGCATCACCATGAACTGCAACACGCCTCGCAGGAGGATTACTGGATGTACCTCATCAGATCCTGGAGAGAGATTTTCCCAGCCAAGACGCGAAGACCGACAAACAGGGAAGAAGTGTTAAGGCAACCGCTCTTTTGCAACCAATGGATTAAAAATCAAGCCAATAAACCCTGGATGGAAGGTGGATTAAGTGGGTTGAGAAGGGCGTCTGGAGAATCGGTCACATTTGGAACAGCCAGCACAACCGA